TTTGTTCATAAATTTTTATACAATTTTCTTTTATTAGAGTATAGAGATTTATTTACATACCTTACAATTTTTCTTGTTCTCTCGTCTGTTTCTTTTCTGTCCTGCGGAGTACTCTTTTCTCACCTCATCTAATCTCTCCTGTTCTTTCTCTCTTTCTTTCTTTTGTCGAAGATGATGAAAAGTTACACCAGTAAGTACGATGGAGGTCACATACATATATATATATTACACACAAACACATACACATGCAGTCAGACATTATATATTTCTCGAAACGGAAACTATTAATAATTAGATCGATTATACTATAGAGAAGAAAAATCAACAAGCGATAATGTTTGAGTGGAGTATATCATTAGAAGTAAAAATTTATTTTATCAAAAAAACATGAAGACACGTAATAAGATTTTTATCTAAACAGCAATAACTAATGTCTAAAGGATTTCCGCTAATGAAACCAGTGATTAAAATTTTAATTTTTAACACATGTATGATAAAATAATTTCATAATTTTAATTTCAATATTATTTTATACTATTAATTGAAATTTATCTCATCTAATACACAAAAGTAAAGTGAATGAAAGAATTCGAGAAGTGACAAAAATCAATTCCTTTAGACATTTTTCTTCGACTAGTAATACAAACAATGTTAAATGAAGAAACCCCCCAAATTAAAAATGCATAAATTGATTATATTTTAGGTAATAATTCGTAGAACTGTCGTAGAATAATCAGTAGGAGAGATATTAGACTGGAGCACCGTTCTCTGAAAATCGTGACGCTGAGAAAAAAATAATATCAGCTTTTCTCGGGTAGCCAGAGTGGCAGACTTTTTTTGCCTCAGACATGTGCATGGGCGATGAAAATTTTTTTATCAATATCTACGCCCAGAAAGAATAGATTTTAAAAGACTATTGTAATCGAAATTACCCAGTAGTTAATTATTAAAAAATTTTGATAGTTAAGTAAAAATGTTGGTCTGACTATTCTTTCTAGAAATGTTCAGTTTAATATTTATTTATCACATTTAACATTCACGATACACATCAACACATGATTATGATTTCCTGAAAAACCCTAGATTATCTATTCTTTGTCTATATAAAAATGTAAAAAAGCAGGACAAAATGATCACTATGCTTTTTTTTTTTTGTTGTTAGGGTTATTAGTATGGATTCATGTGTGTATGTGTGTATGATGTCTGACATGAAATGAATTGAGAAACATTTGAGTATTTTTTTTTTCTGTTCTGTTCTCATTCTCGTCTGTCATTAATACTCATTCATCCGCCTGGTTTAAAAGATATCATTATTATTATTATTAATACGATAGTTGTACAAATGATATAGAGCTACATACAGATGCACGTACTGACAAATTATTTGTGGAAAAAATAACAACACGATTGAACAATAAATAAATTTAAAAAAAAACCAGTTACTAGTAAACAATATCAGAGTCTAATTGAACGCCAATGTCAAATGTTTTGGAAAACAATCTCTTTTTTCCCGCCTCATACATATATTTTTTCATAAAACTGAAATCATTAACCTTGTCAACAAGAGGAATCAACTAAAAAGCATAAATATTCAAATTGAAAGTCATCACGTTTAAAAAAAGAAAGCTGACATAGTTGAAGGTGGCCTGCAGCAGTTTTTCAAGATACTACATTTTCTAAAATGAAATATCAGTAAATTATTAATCAAGACAAACGTATGTTTCACCATTTAGCATATGAATGAACCATAAATTTGAAAATATCCTTTTTTTCTCACATAAAAAAAAAAATAACACATAAAGCCATCACGTTTAACCTATTTATTTTTTTTCTTTTCTAGAATCAATAAAAGTATAAATGGCACATTTTTCTTGTTTAGAAAAACGAGGAGGAGAATAGAATCTATAATACGTATGTTTATGTTTCTAAAAGTAACAAAAACAACACACGCTTCTTTTTTTCTTTTTTTTTTTGTCAAGAAACAAGTTTTTCCAGCTGGAATAATTACTGCGCTGAATTTTTTTCTTCACACTTATGATACAGTGATGTATGTCGTATAATGCACAATGACGTTCATTAAAATTAATGTTAAAAGAAAAATTCTACCTTGTTGAAGCAAAAATTAGAGTAAATGTATTCTAACATCTGCATAATTGAAACAGGGTAGATTTTTCAGTCATATTAGATTTGATACTATTCAACGTTTTTACTGTACGTAATTGATCTATGATGCAAGAACAACTTACTAATAGAACATATCACAAGCAAACTAAAATATTATCCTGCTTAAATGGTACATCATTTTTCAAATGGCATTTAGATTATAAAAAACTATCAGCAATTTCTACTTACTTTGCTATAGTTTCATCCATTTTTATTATAATTCATATATAGGTAAGTGCGTTTTACTTGAAAAACTACCGGAAAAGCCAACTGAATGAATTAACACACGTACACCATACACACTTGTTCACATCAGCCAGCAGCTCGACTGCCTTGCCATTTTATTTTACACATACTTATGTACAAACGGAAGAGGAAAAGAATATGATTTTCTTTTGTTGTACAGTTTGAAGAACGAAAAAGAAAAAAAAAGAATAGATATGATTTTCATTCGTCGCGTTTTCTTTTTTCTGTTCTTTTCTTATCGTTACATTATTATTTTTGAGGTTGAATTTAATTATCGGTAAAAACGATAGAAAATATGTGCATGTGTTTTTGAAGAAGAAAAAAAAAACAATTCCTCCCCCCGCCTCCCCCC